GGTAACATCGCTTGATGAATATCTGCCCTGCCAACTAACATGTCCTGTCTCCGCAGGGGTGTACAGCCTGCCTGTCATTGGTGTGGGCTACTTCCTTGGTGGATATTTCATGAAGAGATATAAGGTCTCCACATTTATGGCCGCCAAGATTGGTTTTTTCACCTCCATATTGGAATATCTCATCTTTTTTCTGGCCTTCGCTATGTTGTGCAAGAATGCGTCTGTGGCCGGACTCACCATTACATACGATGGGTAGGAAATGGTGGGAGACTCAATATAATGTTAAGGGGACCCTATCTTCTGAGGAGCGTCTGACACCACTCTCGTGCAAGCACTGAGCGCTTATGATGCACCATGGTTAATCTGGCACTTGCAGGGTTAATCTGGTCGCTTTGGAGTATTCTGGCAGTGTCAGGGTTAATCTAGCAGTTTTGATACAGTGTTTTTTAAGCTTTTTTTAATTATGTTACATTGTTTTTATTACTCTTAATGACATATAGCATATTAGAAACAGAGCAGAATAGTAGGAGAGATCAGACTATACATACTGCTGTATAAGGGACGCCCCCTCCTCACTCCTAGCAGAGAGACGCCCGTCCCCATTGGTCAGTTCAGAGGCTTATAATAGGCACATTGGAAGTATTAGGCTGTCCAATTAGGTAACTCAACATGCTTAAAGGTGCCCATACACTGTACGATTATCGTACGAGAATCGCGGGAAATCGTACGATAATCGCAAAGTGCATGGAAGGCGTGCGACCGTTTCTACTTTACGATCGCACATCTTCCGTCGAACAAGCAGGCTGGAAAAACTGTTGAGAATCGTACAATTCTCAGCGGGTTAGTGGCGTGCTTGTTCGACAACTGCCGAACTGGCTTGCAATGATCGCAAGTACGATCTGCCTGTCCAAGATGGGCAGATCGTACGTTTTTTTAACTACTTTACAACCCTTGCAAGACAAAAGTCTTGCGAGGGTTGTACAGTGTATGGCCAGCTTTAGAAACCAATCCTCACAGATGTCCTCTGTATAAATTTGTAAAATAAATAAATGTATACAAATAGTGAAAAATAGAGAAAACATGCCGAAAAACATAATTTTAATGTACTTTAAAAATCTGACCAAGAAATATAAACATTTACTATTATACCTTCCTCTGTTTCAGAATTGAGAGTGTTTCCTATTCAGATAACTTAACGGCGGACTGTAACCTGAACTGCGACTGCCCTACCGATGTCTGGGACCCCGTGTGCGGGGATAACGGCATGGCCTTCGTCTCCGCCTGCTTAGCCGGCTGCTCCTCCTCTAGGGGAAGTGGGCAGGATGTGGTGAGTAATGATTGGCACTACCATGAAATGCCGCTCAGTTTTCTCCTGTGTCCCACTGGGGAGATTTCCCTTCTTGTGTTCGCAGGCACTTGTATGTGGCGCATTGTGGGGGTTTTTTTTGCATGCACTGCGTTGTTTTTTCATGTGTTTGCATGCACTGTGGTTTTTCTTTTGTGTGTGTGTGCATTGTTTGACACATTCAGCCACATTGGATGTGAATGGGCCCTTATACATTTATTGTTATAGTGTTCATCGCTGGAGGGCAGGTAATGACTCACCCCCCTGGCTTCCTGATTGGCCGGGAAGCCAGTTCCATGCTCCCTCTGGAACCCCTAAATATAGAGGGCATGGCCTCCTGCCTGGCAGCTTGGAGAAAGATAAAGTAAATACATCAATGATTGGCTGCTGCAGCTATTATGACCAGCAGGTGGCAGAGCTGCTCCAACAACTTCCATGCGCTCTGTGATCTCCAGGATATATATCAGAACAAGTTATATACAAGTTACTAATACATTTAAAGGAAATAATAACGTAAATTGTTACAGAAAAAGAACCATCAGAGGACATTGCATTTATTTATTAGTATTTTCTTGTATATGGTTTTTCTATAGTACTAGTAAAGTAATAACATTGTTGAAGTTTAATATCATTCTTTACCTTGAGGGCCGGTTCACACCACAAATTACACGTTCCAGTGCGTTCGGCCACTGGAACGCAAGCCGGCCGGCTCCCTGCGTTCAGGGGCAGGAGGGGGCATGTCAGTACATTGAAGTCAATGGCACTGCAGCCAGGCCGTCTGCCCGCAGTGCGATCGCTCACACCCGGAACATAGCCACATTAGTGCTTGCAGTATTTTTGCAGATTGCACTGGACCGCAATGCAAGCACTGATGTGCCTGTGTTCTGGGTGCGGGCGATGGCACTGCAGGCGGGGGCGTGACTGTGGTGCCATTGACTTCAATGCACAGCCACGCCCTCTCCGGCCCCTGAACTCAGGGAGCCGGCCGGCTTGCGTTCCAGAGGCTGAACGCTTTGGAACGCAGCCTTTGTGGTGTGAATCAGCCCTGAAGGAAGAATACACATGACTCTTGTATTTAGACAATATTCGTTTACACCAGAGTTCAGCTTAAAGACTTTTTTTTGCTTATCGAGTTGGGTACGGGTAGAACCTCAGTCTAGTTTTAAATACTTCCTGTGTTCCCGAAGAGATTTCCCTTCTCTTCCTGTTACTCATCCTTTAGATAGGATGGGAGGGTGAATCTTTCCTCTCCCATAACTAAAATATGACTTTTGGGTGGACTGGCCCTTTAATTCACTATTTTATCTGTGATGACTTTGTTTTCTGTCTTTGATATAAAATAATATTTCTGGTTTTACAATGTTCTTCTGGTTATCTCTCTGCAGGTTTTTCACAACTGCAGCTGTGTCATGTCCCCGAACAGCACCGCCATACTGGGCCAGTGTTCGCGGGAGGAGAAGTGTGACACCATGCTGCTGTACTTCATGATTCTCAACCTGGTGTGCTGCTTCATCTACTCGCTGGGGGCCATGCCGGGGTACATGGTGCTCATCAGGTAATGTGTGCCGAGCCAACAACCTCTCCATCTGCTCGGTGGGTCAGTCTGTGTAAAACAAGTATATCAGTGATAGGTGGAATCTGGCAGGCAGCGTTACCTGCAGCCATCTTATATGAATGGGGAATGCAGAAGTGAGATCTCCCTGCCATAGGCAATGTTCTGTTCTCTTCCACCACGGAAACCCTCATAATGAGCACAGCAGGTATACAGACCCCAAAACGTGGGGTAGGGATTGTGAGAACCCCTCATAAAGGGCACAGCAGGTCTGCAGACCCAGGAACCCAGCACGGGAATGGTGGGAACCCTTATAATGGACACAGCAGGTGTATAGACCAGGGAACTAAGCACAGGGATGGCGGGAGCCCCTCAAAAAGAGCACAGCAGGTGTACCAGGGAACTCAATGCAGGACTGGTGGGAACCCATCATCTGGGCACAGTGGGTGTGTAGACCCAGGAGCTCAGCACAGAGATGGTGTGAGCCCCTCATAATGGACACAGCAGGTGTGTAGACCCATAAACCAATTGCAGGGATGGTGAGAACTCCTCATAATGGGCACAGCGGGATCTTCCATCGTAGGTCTAGGATGCCGGGAGGCAAGTTACTGACAAGACTACCGAGTCACCTAATTTAGATTTTCACTCTACTATCTCCAACTGCAACCACACTGTTGCCCGCACATACTCTGAGCTGTCAGAGACTCTCCCTGGGGGCAAAGTGCTGAAAATATACATAATAAATATTGTTATCCTGGACCATTGATATCACACAGTATGTCTGTGGACAGTCAAAGGATGTTCAACATTTTCCATATTTTTAATAAGAAATAGAAAATAATACAAGAAAGCTGCAGAGTCCCCCAGTAAAAAGAACATCTATCGAATACAACACACAGTATAACATAAACATTCATTGTAATGTAGTAAATGAGCATTCAAACAAACCCTTCACTGACCTCTGTAGCTGCAAGCACTGTGGAGCAGCTTGACACCGATGGAAAAGAATTGTGACTGATGTTCCGCTGCTTCTATGAAGGTGTGTCATTCCAATTGCTTTCTGATACATTGTTATTTTCTGCTCTGTCCCAGGAGTCTCACCCCTGAGGAGAAGTCTTTCGGCCTCGGGCTCCACCTCTTAGCCGCACGGGCAATCGGTAAGGACCCAGCACTGTCACATACGTGTGCAGCTCTGCGTGATTTGCATTTAGGACTTGTGAGGCTGCAGTATGTACAGAACTTGTCTAACTGCTGCCACCTCCACTTTAAAAAATTGAAAATGAATCAAATGATTACATATGCTAAACTAGTATAAGTACCCCAATCTGTCTTCCTATCAGCCTCCTGTCATCTCCCTGCACAGCAGCACTCAGATAAGGGGATGGGCAGCACTAGGAACCAATCAGGGCTCTATGGCTGTAATAAAAGGGAGAGGGATGATGTATCAGGTATACAGCTGTTCCCTATTGTCCAATCACTGGCAGGTGGCGGATCCCGGACCAGACTCTACTGCTTAACTGCTATGAGGGTCAGCAACCTCAGGGACTGCTGGAACTACAGAAAGTGACTAGAAGTGCACACAATGGAAAGATATATAAAAAAGAAAGTTTATATTAATCCCTCCTGTTATATGGGGATCTCCAGACATCCAGTCTCTCCATGTCCTCCTACATAGGTAGCCATAATGTCTGCCCAGAGATAACCATGAGCATGTAAGCAGGTTCCATCATTCACTGACCTGAACTTCAGGTTATCAATTGAAACCACCTAAAGTACATACAAAGGATGTGGTTTACCCATATAGGGGGCCCATGACTGCCCTGCCACTGTTGATGGACCTTTTAGTGTAGAAGATGCACCCAAAAAGACATCACTCATAGTGTGCCTCATACACCCGGTAATTAATTCCCCACTACTGCCGAAATACCTGGAAAAATCTCCGGGACTGGCTTTCAGTGTGACCACCAAGGCCTGCCACAAATTGTGCCGGATTGATCAATCTATTGTAACAATAATGTTGTTACAATGTTTTTAGACTAAGATCACACAGTACAGGGGCGTCCTCTGACCTGTGCCCAGGAGGCTCAATTCACAAACGTTTAACACCAGGATAAGGATCTTTATTGTCAACCATGTGACTGTAACCTTCAATTTTATTGGCTAAAAAATAAGGATCCATATCCAGGTATGGTAGCTTTGTGAACTGAGCCTCGTATCAGTGAATGAAACCTTTTAAGTGGGAAAAAAATGCTTTGTACCAGAAACATTATGTTGGAGCTCAGCCCATTACTCCCAGCCCCCTGTCCACGCAAACCCAGGACCCCGCCCTCATCACCCCACATCTGACAATATAATTTGACCATCGGTGGGAGGTGATTCTCCATCTCTGCAGTACAAATATAACTATTCTTTTTTTGGCATGAAAAGTGATTGTCCTCTTGTTACAGGTGGGATTCCTTCCCCAATATACTATGGAGCCGCCATAGACACAACCTGTATAAAATGGGGGACGAACAGCTGCGGTGAGCCGGGAGCATGCCGGATGTACGATTCGGATGCCTACAGGTATAGCCATTGGCATTTTTTTTACTTTTAAAGGTTGATTGGTTTGTGTCACCATGTGACTACCACCAAGCATAGCCCCCTCTCTATTCCTCCTGGAACCCTGTGTTGGGAGCAGGCACCCTCCGTTGTATCCCACAATGCAAAGCGCCAACGTTCATTTGATTGCTGAGACCTCTGCATTGTATAGTGTAGCAGGAAAATGCTCGCAGGGATCCCGGCATGCAAGCTGCAAGGTCCTTGCAAGCATTGCATATGGTCATTTTATATCAAGGTTAGGCAAAGTCGGCACTCCAGCTGTGCTGAAGCTACAAATTCCGTCATGCCTCTGGAAGTCATGCCTGTGATTGTTAGTCTTGCAATGCCTCCTGGGACTTGTAGTTCCTCAACAGCTAGAGGGCCAAGGCTGCCTTCCCCTAGTTTATATGATGTCCCTGCATACAAGTCTGGTTTAGGTGAATCAGGAATCCTCAGAGTTCCAAGACTTGGCTTAAAGTGCAGATCGTTTTCATGTCTGAACTCCTCAGTGGATCTTTATATTCGTATATATGGTAGTAGCATTGGCATAACTATACTCATAGCAGCCCAGGCAGCTGCTGTGGAGCCCCGGGGGAGGGGCCCCATTAGGTTGTTGAGACAAATTAAACATAGAACATGTGAAGATAATACACTGCATTCAGGGTTGGAGTCGTTGCAGTTGATGATAACGTGAATCCCCTGTCTACAATGTAGAGACGACTTCAGATACACAAGAGAAGCCTTTGGAATCTTGGCATCGTTACCCACAGCTCGGAGAGAGGTCATCGAGGGGGCCCCGTCTCCTTTTTGCTATGGGGCCCCGTGATCTGTAGTTATGGCCCTGTGTAGTAGGAAACCATATATAACTCTGAGTGTATGACCCCCTTCCCGTGTCTCCACAGATATCTGTTCATCGGGATCCCCTCTGTACTGCGATTTGTCTCATACATCCCCTGCGTGTTCATCCTCTTGGCGCTCAAACGGATGTCGTCCCGCTCGGAGGTTGTGGGATAATTATCTCTGGGAATGGAAGAGGAAATTATCGAAGAATCTTCAGTAATTTCCTGCAGGAAACATGAATTCTGCCAACATCACTGATAGGATTCACACCTGGAAATTCTGTCCATGTAACGGGAGAAGGGGCCGACGTGCAAACGTAGCAGAACATGCGGCTGCTAAGGGCCTGGGAACTAGGGGGCCCCCATGTGCCTGGCTACACCATGATCCATCCCTGGAAAAACAGCTCATGGACAATATTATTATAATTATTCTTCTGAATAAAGTGAATGTGAATTGAATTTGAATTCCTCCTTCATATTGCCACCTATGTAATCAGCAGGATCAGCATGGAGGACCCGGCCTTGCAGTGAAAGGGTCCTAGTCACACTTGTCCGTTTTCAAGCAGCAAAACTTTTGCGGCATGATTATGCATTGCAGGTAGAAATTCTTCCCCATGTGGCTGGTTCACCTGTATACAATGCGGTTTAGTGTGAAAGGTAAACTACATGGGCCCGTTCTACGGTTGCCACCTGTCCAGGATTCACCTGGACAGTCCGGGTTTTGAATGCTGTGTCCGGGTTTCATGGCAGCAGAACCCTGGACACATGATGTCAGGCAGACGGGCAACCAAAATTAGGATAGGGGCTACTGTCCCCCCACTGAAAATAGTCTCAACTGTGATATTTACATAGGAATGGGTGACGCTATTTACATATGAATAAGCCACCACTCATTTTCCCCAAAAAATGTCAGCACGTCGCTAGAGTGTTCGGGTCTCGCTTGAAGAAAAGGTGGCAACCTTAGCCCGTTCACACCTACACATGTGCATTACCACGCGTGCTGCATGCTCTCCATACATTGCAGATCGTCCTCTGAGCGGTGATCAGAGCAATGTGAGTCTCCACCCGCGGTCAGAACCCTCCGCAGGTCCTAATATAAATCTAAATGTTTATTTAATTTGCAGCAAATGTGATGATTGATTTCAGTGTCATTACTGAAATTTCATTATTCTCGCTACAGAAAATGAACTATATCTTGTTATGAGAGAGATTATAGGCCGGTCACGTGACCTTCCACCGCGTACAAGAGTCAGAAATGATATTGGCACAAACTATGATTGCTGGAAAGGAACAGAGTCTGTGGGGGAGAACAATCGAGTGTATGTAAGCTCCTCTGGTGCAGAGATTAATATGAATGGTTCAGTGTTCTCTGTACAGCACTGCGGTATATGTTGGATGTATATATATATATATATATATATATATATATATATATATATAAAAATAATAATAATAACAGTGTGTGACTGTGGTGGGACATTAGAGTGTAAGCTTTTTGCTGCAGAGACTGATGTGACTGGCTCAGTGGTCTCTGTACAGCACTGCGGTATATGTCAGAGCTATATACATGTATAATAATGAGGACATTAGAGTGTAAGCTCCTCTGGTGCAGAGACTGATGTGACTGGCTCAGTGTTCTCTGTTTAACACTGTGGTGTATGTTAGAGATTTACAGTCACCTCCCTCCCTGGCTGGATCTTTATATTGGTAGAAGTGATGATTTCAGATCCTTATAAATAAAGTTTATCCGCGTTGCAGACAATAACGTCCGTTTAATACACGCGGACAGTCTGTGACACTGAATTCTATTTAAAGCTGAAGCTGAGCGCAGGGCACTTCACAGCTGTCCTCCCAGATTCTGCGATTGGGCTTCAATGAAATGAGAAAACTTCCCCCAGAGCTTCACCTGATCCTGTCTTATGATGAAAGATAACAAGGTTGTATCATGTGTGCTGTATGATAAGAGTCTGTAATTCACACGGCCCGCAGCACTGAAGGGTCAGCCCACCCAAAACTGATATTTCAATGTTTAGAGAAGGCTGGAGAGTAACACGCCCTCACAGTTTCTCCACCATCAGTCAGCCGATTTCCTGAGTTTGTACACCTGCTGTGCCCCGTATGAGGGTTCCCACCATCCCTGTGCTGAGTTCTCGGGTCTCTATACCTGCTGTGCCCATTATGAGAGGCTCCCCCATTCCTGTGCTGAGTTCTCGGGTCTCTATACCTGCTGTGCCCATTATCAGGGGCTCCCCCATCCCTGTGCTTGGTTCCTGGGTCTGTACACCTGCTGCACCCATTATGAGGGGCTCCCACCCTCCCTGTGCTGAGTTCCTGGGTCTGCACACCTGCTATGCCCATTATGAGAGGCTCCCCCATTCCTGTGCTGAGTTCTCGGGTCTCTATACCTGCTGTGCCCATTATCAGGGGCTCCCCCATCCCTGTGCTGAGTTCTCGGGTCTCTATACCTGCTGTGCCCATTATCAGGGGCTCCCCCATCCCTGTGCTGAGTTCCCGGGTCTGCACACCTGCTATGCCCATTATGAGGAGCTCCCCCATCCCTGTGCTGAGTTCCTGGGTCTGTACACCTGCTATGCCCATTATGAGAGGCTCCCACCATCCCTGTGCTGAGTTCCTGGGTCTGTACACCTGCTGTGCCCATTATGAGGGGTTCCCACCATCCCTGAGCTGAGTTCTCGGGTCTCTATACCTGCTGTGCCCATTATGAGGGGCTCCCACCATCCCTGTGCTGAGTTCCTGGGTCTGTACACCTGCTGTGCCCATTATGAGGAGCTCCCACCATCCCTGTGCTGAGTTCCCGGCCGGGTCTGTACACCTGCTGTGCCCATTATGAGGAGATCTCACCCAAAGTTGGGCTGCAACACCCAATACACCCAGGTAGACAGAAACATTTAAATCTCCTCGATTCCCAAGTCAGGAAATGCCGGTTTTGGGCTTCCGGAATTAACTTTTAACCCTTTGTGTGTGAAGCGGCGGCTGAAATGCTATTTATACCGCGATCTTCCCCGGATCAATCCCTGCGCAGACAGACGTTCTGTACGCACGCTGTTAATGGCTGCCGCCTCCTACGTGAAAGCCGCCGTGGTTGCATTTTACGATATGTGTTACTAAAAACATTAGTCGTGAGATCCGTTTGAGTGTCAGGGAATTGCGCGCTCTGACAGCTGGAATGTTGGATCTGTCGGAGGAGGAGGGAGCTGACTTCACTTCAGTCTAAGTTGCCGACAAATGGAAAAGTCTCTCCAGAGTCGACATCAAACTCCTGCAGCACGTGGAGAGAGACTAAAACAGCAATCAAGGTGGTTTAAAGAGAACCAGTCATAGTGTGATGCAAGAATAAGACTATTCATTGGTAGACTTTTATAACTGTTCTGGGTTAATTAAAAAAAAAAATGTACATCTGACATTTTGTTTTACTTAAAGCTGAACTCCGCAGCGATTTACAATATAAAGGAAGACATTACAATCACTATACAATTCAAGACAACATGGTAAGAAGGGCCCTGCCCCTGAGGGCTCACAATCTAAAAGGGAGGGGCAAATGATACATGAGGAGGTAGTTGTGTGGGGATGAGTTGTTTGAGAACGTGATGGTTGAGCGGTTAGGTTGAGGGGGGATAGGATCCATGAAGAGATGAGTCTTAGGGATCGCCTAAAGGCAGTCAGAGTGGGAGATAGACGGACAGGTTGGGGTAAAGAGTTCCAGAGGATGGGAGAGACTCTAGAGAAGTCCTGGAGGCGAGCATGGGAGGAGTACTGATGATGGCACTGCTACTATATCTGGGTTTGTAACACACAAAGTGGATCTATATCCTTTGTGACTATTGAAGAATATATGTAGACAAAAATGTTTTGTGCCCGGAGTTCAGTTTTTAGTGTTCACATTCTTGCCTATACCCATTTGTGACTGGTGCTCTTTAAGCCGCGCTGCTATAAATAGATCTTTCCAGAAGGAGTGAAGATATTACCGCACATTAGATAGAAGTTTACATTCCTCTGGTATTGTGATGACACGTAATGGGCTGAGAGGAGACAAATGCCGTTTAATTGCAGGATGATCTGTATTGTCAGTCATGATTCCGCCCGTAATTCTCATTACTCCTGGTTGTTACTGCGTGGAGGGAAAGCTTTGTTCCCCGGAATCTATCTTTATACATTCACCTTTATTATTACATCTGTATCAATAAATACTGACAATTGTCGCCTGCGCTCTGCGTGGTGGGCGGTGCTAAATGTTTCCGATTTACTTCTCATTTCCCGATATTTCCAGTCATATTATTTTATAATGTAAAAATATATATATTTTAATGTAAAAGTGATTGAACAAACCTGAGATGTAGAAGGAGGCGGGCCAAGCGTATACAAGAAAGGAGATCCGGAATTCTCTGAGCAATTTTAGCGTGTCAAAAAAGTGCAACTCGCAGCGGCATGCTCTACTTTTTTCTCACAATGGGGGGAATTTCTCTAAACTAGGAGTTTTTGAGCAGTTCGAAAAGCGCTTTTAACTACCAAACACGAGAAATCCCATTATTTTCTATGGCCCTGGTTCACACCTGGAAAAGGTACTGGATCTTCTTTGGGCAGTTAAAAGCTTCTTCCCCATAGACTTCATTGGAAATGCCCAAAAACACGCAACAGAAGCATCTTGTACATTCTCATGAGCGTTTTTGCGCATTTATACGCGCATTATTCCAGTGCCCACAATGGTTTACGAGCTGCCAATCAAAACGCACGTCATGTACGCCCGTTAAAACGCAAATACAAATGTGCACAACGCGCAAATAACTGCATGCTGTTAACACGCTCAAACGCTGCCGCCTAGGTGTGAACCAGGCCTTAACCCTGGTGTGTAAAACTTGAAGCTCATCAACTTCTTTCGGAGCAGGATCGCACGTTCCGGCCCCAGTAGACGCATTTTTCGTGCACTTTCTTTCCTAGTAACTAGTTAAAAATAATAATAATAATAATAAACAAAAAACATCCAAGTCTGTAACATGTGCAAAAATTATTTAAAAAAAAAAAAAGCCTGAAAAATGACAAAAAACGGTAAAAAACTACAAAATAACGGCGCTC